TCTGTAACAGAGGAGCAAAAAAGGACAGATGATACAAAGCAATGGGAGCTGTATGTTGGAGACATGGTGGGGATAGTGAGGCAAAGGGATGGAGGAGGGAAAAAAATTAATCAGGTTGGGAATAGTGGAACAGACCAAGGCTAGCTAAACTGAGCTAAAACTGAGCCAAACAGGAGGAAGGAAAGTCTTAACCTCGTTAGAGTGAAGGAGCCGAGAGTTGGAAGAAACCAAACTGAGCCAGGACCAGGGCTAGAGGGGACAAATCCACAGAAGAAGCAAGCAGAAGCGTATGTTACCTAGGATATCTCCTGTTCCAGGATTCACGATTCTCACTGCCTCCCTACTCTCAGCATGGAAACCCCCCAGGCTAGCTGTAGTAGCAGTGATGGAGCCTTTGGGCTGCCCATCGGGGTGCTTTTGCCACGTCAGCTGAGGGAGTAATAAAGAGGTGGATCTAAAGCTGCTAATTAATCAGATGTTGGCACATGAGGAAATTGACATTTTTCAGGTTTCATTTACAAAACTGCAAGAAACCATGAGTCTATATGCACGAAGCTATGTTTAAAAAATACGAAGGCTGTCAAGCACAGAAACTTTAGTGTATGCCAGACTGGAAAACGTGCAACCTTAACCTCCTGGCACATGAGCGTTATGACACAGTCTGACTACAAGATCACAACAGATTTCTGCACAGGAGTGCTGCTTCATTCAGCGCACAAGACGGACCTCCTCCTGAGATGAAAAAGATTAAGTACCTAAGAACAATGTTCTCTTTTGAACATCCTGCTTTGTTTGCTGCAGTGAGTGGCATACATGTCATAAGAGACAGGGACTGCAAGAAGAGACAAGAGTATCACTAAAGTAGTAGGAACAGCACTCATCAGAACTAGATTTTATCTTTTCCTGTCAGAGGACTCAAAGGGATAGCAGGAACATAACTGAATTTAAATCCTCTGAGTTGTGCTCACTCATTTTCCAGGCTCAGCACGGAACGCTGTTACCTAATTTCTTGAAGTGCTGAAGCTGCAATTGAAACCAATGGGAGCTGTGCATCAAATAAAGATATTTTTAATGCTAGGTATTGTTAAAGAAAACAGGCCAAAGGAGTCTGAAATTCCTGGACATTTGAATCTGAAGCGCTCTCTTTTGCCTCACTAACCCTGGGTCGTTTCCTGGCTGCTGCAAAAATGAACTCAGTAAGTACTTATAAAGTAGTCATTTATTACAGTTAAGGTCAGGCCCCCAAATGTGGGGGAGGAGGCTAACCAACGCACTTTTTTGAAGGCCTGAACAACAGCATGGGACCTGAAAAACTTGCTGGAGATCTCCTTTGCCCCGTGGGCCCCAAATCGTGCCCCTCTCTTCTCTCCCTATTCTATTTCCAGCCCCTGATGAGGATCGTTTCTGTCCAGAAATTAATCGTTCTGCCCTCAGAGCACATTTTGCACTATGCGCCGTACATAAACCCTGAGAACACATGCCAAAAAATGCAGAGAAAAAGTATGGAGTAGCTGCTCGCTCAGTGCATGCCGTCTAACCTGTGTGCTGAGCAAGGCATAATTTCTGTGGGAGAAGCCAATATAGGTAATTAAAGGCTGTGTCCTAACACATATGAATAACTAGGACAAATTAAGATTGCACAAGCAGTCCAAACATTCATGTTCCTAATTTTTAAAAACATTCGTTTTTAAAACATTTGTTGCTATTTTACTGATTTTTACACAAACATTCAGCTGTATTAGAAGTGTGAATCAATATATACTGACCAAATATGCTTTGGAGACATATTATAAACATATGGAGGGAGGTGAGAACATTAGCCTTCATTTAATTTTTTTCTGGGCTGCAGCATGAAATCAATTAGTAAGCAGCATTCAGTCATGAAATTCAGTTAGTCAGGGAAACATTATATGCCCTTTCGTTTATCATCTAAACACACTAAGCCATCAATCTGTCTTACAAGATGTCCATTTTCAATGCAATTCTTTTAAAAGCTTATCCAAAATCTACTTTCTCTTGCTCACATTCAGTTCTTTTTCTTAAATTTTGCATACAGAGAGAATGCAAAGAGAAGTATACAACTGAAAAAGATGTTAAGAAGGACAGAGACCACAAGAACTATTCGCTTTCATTACACATTAGTAATTTTCTGTGTTCCTCCTTGTCATATGGCTCCACGTTACTAAAATAACCTGTAAAATAAAGATGTTTCCTGAGTTTTAAAGGATATTAGAAAAGGGAGATGGGACAATAATTAGGAAGAATCTGGTAAAAGGAGGGGGAAATTTAATAAACTTATTTTTTCTTACCCAGAATCTTTTCGCTGCAGGCATTCAGGATCGGAATGGAACAATAATTCATTGCAGCAAGAGCCAAAAACACACGCTGAGCATTCGGGAAAGTCAGATGGTCTATCTCTTTCAAAACTGCCATCTAAAGTGAATTAAAGTTTATTAAATCTTTCATTCTTCAGGTATATTACCACTGCTTATTTACACGAAAACTTTCCCAAATTCCTTAGCTTGCTGGGATTCACATGAAGGAAAAAGTAATAACAAGCAACAAAAGCATAAATTTCTTCCAATTACCTAATAAACAGTTACAGCTGATAGTTTTCTAGAGCTGTCAAGCAATTTGCCTTTATATGGATTTTTTAAAAGAAAGAAGTCTTTCTAAAGCTTATTTCCAAATACTGTGAGTATATATCTCCTATCAACTATTAAAAAGGTAGCAGAAATACAGTTGGCATGGTAGACATTTAATACTACTGCGATTACTGTTTTGGATGCGTGCGAAAGCTGTAAGCCTTCAGAGTGATCCAGTAGCACACTCAGCGGCATATCTGTAATACATATACCCAGCTACAAATGGGGCCTGAGGCACACAGGAGGTCAGCTCTGATGCCATACAATCGACTTCATTTATAGAAGCAGTAGTGAATTGGATATAAATGACAGTAAAAATGAGACTAAGACATTTAGCTGTACTGGTTTTTAAAATACAATATTCTTATAGCATGCCTACCAAAGGACAAATATAAAATGTCTACAGTAGAAAATACACTAGATAATAGTAAGAAAAAACAGCGTTCCATAGTCTCACAGGATATTATAAAAGCTCTCTTCAGTTAACAAGTGGAAATGTTTTGCTTTCCATTCTCCACTACATCTTGTGCCAAGTTCTCACCATCTTGTTCTAAAAAATGCTACCTTGTCCAAGGTTTCTTGGTTTACTTAAATCTAAGACATTATGTGAGCGCCCTGCACTGCTCTATTTTTGCATGAGAAGCCCAGTTTCCTATCAGCACTATGTTCCTTCACTTCCTCATGAACGCTATTAACCCTGACCTTAGAGCCCTTCAGCTGGGTGATGAAAAACACTGGCAGGCCCAGTTTGAAAGAAGCTTGAAAAAAGTGTCTTTACTCAGAGGACAAAACCTGGTATCACCAGCCAAACCTGGTATCACCAGCCATATAACCACAGCCTGCTCCCAACCACTCTGTTTCCTGGGGGACCTCTCAGATAAAGACAAGCATAAGGCCACGAGCTAGGCGAGTTCTCCTGGCGTCTCACTCCCAGCTCTCTCTAGCCCCATAGCATCGTTGGACGTGGCCCCATCACAGAACAGTTTTCTGGTCTTCAAGCCACAGATCAGGCAAGGGGATCAGGCTAAAAGTGCTTCCATAACATATAATGTGACCAACCTAAACAAGAGGTGAGAGCACTACTATTTTGCTCTTTCAATTCCCTTTTTACACAGCTCCTTTGCTTTCTGCTCCTTCAATGGTTTGACATTCTCAGCCTCCAAACTTAAGTCTCTCTTGCAAATACAGCTGGAGTACGACTCATACAGCAAATCCAGTTAACTTTTCTATTGTATTTTCTCTTTGTCTAGAAAGAACCGTACACAACTTATAAATAATCAGAGCACAGGTTTTGTAGCAGTAACAGTGATGAAATGAAATTTACCAACAAAAATTATGAAATGTACCTCTAACTTCTTTTTCAAAAAGACTGGAGCATCTTTTCCCATGCATCTCATTAGGTTTTGCAGTATAAAGATGTCTCCGATATCTGGGATTCGCTGCTCTACTAGTAATCTGTTAAAGGAAAACACAAGGCCTTCAGCTACAGAGAACACCTGTTTAATAGAGGTTCTCTTATTTCAGCAGACATAGATACGTACCCCCTCCCTCACTGTCACCCCCCCCAAAATAAAGCCATAATTTATCCTGCTTCTCTCTCACCCCCTCTTTTTTGCAAGGCTGGCACAGTTGTTCATGATGTAGCTGCAGCACAAATGTTTACCTAGAAGGGAATAATGATATTAATACAAACATATGCCTTCTTAATGCTATCCTGATACATGAGTGTTGTCCCTCTTCAGCCTGAACAGGAGAGGCACCTGCCAAGACTGTAGCATGTGAATGCGCAGGCCTAAGTGCTACAAGCCTCATGGAATTAACACATTTCTGCAGGGAAAAAAAGCAGATTTTTATCATCAAATCATCTACATGGAGGCAAGTTCTGAAACAGCCACGAAAGTCAGTGATGGACCTTGACAACAACCTGGAGCAAAAGAGGGAAAAAACACAACCAGTGGTGCTGTGGGCTGCAGGAGCAAAAGGGCATGTCAGAACACAGAGGAACCATAAGCACCAAATCAAGGAGTCCAGCTTTCCCAGCAGCTCCTTTTCTGGCTCAGCAGGA